TGTTCTGCTATTTTTTGTGTGAGATTTAGAATGAACTGCAATACGGCGCCGGCCAGTAGGTGGCGCTGTGTATGGAGAGAGACAGGGATAGGAAGCTGCATCTTATCCCTGCTTCTCTCTGCTGATTGAAACCGCAGGGGAACAACACATGCAGCCAGAGACAGTCTACAGATCAGGGAAGTGAGGGATGGAGGGAGGGTTTGAGACAAATTTTTTTTTGGGGGGGCAGCAGCCTATAGATTTTGGGAGGGGGCAGCAGCCTATAGATTAGGGGAGTGAGGCATGGGGGGGCAGCCTATAGATTAGGGAAGTGAGCATAGGTGTGCGCAGCCTATTGCATTAGGGTGTGCACCCTAAAGCACAAACACACGCCATGTGTATATGTATGTGTGTGTGTGTGTGTATATATATATATATCTGTTATATATATATATATGTATACACACACACTGCTGTGTGTGTGTGTGTGAGGGTGCTGTTAGTGTGCTGTGTGTGAGGGTGCTGTTTGTGAGGGAACTGGTAGTGTGCTGTGTGTGTGTGTGTGTGTGTGAGAGGGTGTTTGTGTGTGCGTGTTTGTTCGGGTCCTGTTAGTGTGCTGTGTGTGTGTGTTGTGTGTTTGTCAGGGTGCTGTTTGTGTGTGAGTGTGCTGTTTGTGTGTGGGTGCTGTGCGGGTGTTGTGTGTGGGTTTTGTGTGTTTGTGAGGATGCTGTTAGTGTGCTGGGTGTGTGTGGGTGTTGTGTGTGTGGGTGCTGTGTGTGCGAGGGTGATGTATGTGTGTAGGTGCTGTGTGTGTGTGGGGGGGTGCTGTTTGTGGGCTGTGTGTGCTGTATGTTTGGGTGGAGGTGGGGGCAGACTAGTTAATATCCCAGTCCTGCTGCCTTCCCTGGTGGTTCAGTGGAGAGTGAACTCTAGCCCGGGTTCTCTGCTGCCTCCCTCCATGCTGCTGTGGACCGGTGAGGTAGAACTTTGATCTCCCCACCGGCCCATGGAGGCTTAGACCAGAGCCGCCGCTCAGATAGCGTCGGCTCTGCATGAGCCGACCGGGGAGATCCAGAGATCTCCCCTGCCGGTCTCAATCCATTGGCGTGCCGCGGGGATTAGGGTGTGCCTAGGCACACCCGACACACCCCAGTGCGCACGCCTATATAAGTGAGGGATGGGGGAGACAGCCTACACGAAGAGTCAGCAAGGAGCAGGAAGGTAAGGTAAGAAAAGGAGAAGGAACAGAAATGAGCAGGAAGGGACATCAAGGAGCAGAAAGGGGCAGCAAGGAGCTGGAAGGGACAGCAAGGAGCACAAAAGGTAAAGTAGGAGAAGGAGCACAAAGGAACAGAAATGAACAGGAAGGGTCAGCAAGGAGCTGGAAGATAAAGCAACACAAAGATAAAGTAGAAGGAGAAGAAAGGGTCAGAAATGAGTTGGAAGGGGTAGAAGGAGCACAAAGGTAAAGTAGGAGAATGAGCAGAAAGGGGCAGCAAGGAGCAGAAAGGGGCAGCAAGGAGCACAAAGGTAAAGTAGAAAAGGGAGCAGAAAAGGTCTGCAAGGAGCAGAAAGGGATCAGAATGAGAAAGGAGCAGAAGAGCGCAAAATAAGCAGAAAGTAGCAGAAAGGTAAAAGAGCAGAAGGGGCCAAGGATAGAAAACAGTGTCAGAAGAAAAAAAAAGACTGTTAAATGAAGGAGAGGAAAAGGAGATTGGAGCAGGAAGGACAAATGAAGTGAACCCTCCACTTTATTCTGGACACCACATCATAAGGCTTTGGTACCTGGGCCTGGCAGGGAAACGCTGGACCTTCTCATCTCCAAAGGTAAAAAAATATCAGTATTAATGTGTTTACTTTTATTTACTGAGTGTCAGGAAGCACAGAGTGCCGTTGGGTAGGGGTGTTGCTGATTGGCTAGAGCGGTCAGCTGGCACTCTAAGCCAATCAGTAGCTCCCCATTCATAAAAAAGTAAAAATATTTTATGAACCGGGAACTAGCGATTGGCTTAGAGCGTCAACTGACCACTCTAGCCAATCAGCGGCACCCATGCCTGACATCAATCTGCACTTCCTGACACTCTGTTTCAGAAGCCAAATACCACTGAGCGACCTGGAGCTGGAGGAAGCCTTTGGGGTTAAACCATTTGAGAGCGATTTAACCCCTTAAAGGAAAGCGAGCACCCAGGGGCTTCCTGGCATCATAGCATTTTCATTTAGGTGAAGTTGTTATGGTGACCAGAATGGTCCTTTAATTTGCTTAAAGGAACACTATAGTGTCAGGAATACAAACATATATTCCTGACACCATAGTTGTGAAAACGCTATTCACCCTGGCTTTATGTGATAATGGCTATGCCCCTTCCCTTTCATGACACTGTCAAAAAGGTACCAAGCATGGATGTCATTACAATTATGCCCCCCCCTGGAAAAATTCCTGCGGACGCCCATGGTAAGCATGTTTTCACTGGGGGCATATCTACTTTCTGCTAGCATTGTCTTTGCTCCCTTTAAACATGCTACTGTTGTTCCCATCCTACAAAAGTAATCGCTTCACCCGTCCTACCCTTCTAACTACCATCCCATATCTAGGCTCCCTTTCTCCTCAAAGCTTCAGGAACAATTTGCCTTTTCTCGACTGACACACTTTCTCAACTCCAACTCCTTCCTCTACCCCCTTCAATCTGGTTTCCACACCCTCCATTCTACTGAGACTGATCCGATTAAAGTAACTAACAATCTAATCACTGCTAAATCCAAAGGCCACTACCCCATGCTGATTCATCTAGCCCTCTCTGTTGCCTTTGACAATGTTGATCATGTCCTCCTTCTCCAAACTCTTCCAAATAAGTCTCTGTGACAATGACCTCGTATGATTCATATATCACTCCTACTAACTATATGCGTATGACACCCAGATACAGTCCTCCTCCCCCGATCTCTCTCTCGTTGTCCTAGCATGTGTCACTGGATGCATTTCTTCCATCCCTGATTGGATGTTCTCCCAATTTCTGAAACTCAAGCTCTCTAAAACTGAGCTTTGTATTTTTCCGCCTCATAATACTGATCCTCCTCTTTCCCATTTTTCTGCAAGTTGGTGGTACCTGTATCAGTCCTTCCTTGCAAGCTTGCTATATTGATGTTTTCTTTGATCCTGGCCTCACCTTTCCTCCTCACCTTTCCGTCCAGTCTGTTGCCAAGTCCTGCATCTTCTTATTTGCATGCATCCCCCCTGACACAGTCGAAAGAAAATAATATAATAAACATTGTATTATAAATGTGGATTACCCATCATAACTGTAAGCGCTTAATACATAAATCTGTTAACTCCTGTAACGGCACCCCGGGTAGGAGAAGGGGTTAACGCCACCAAAGGTTGTTCTTTTCCCCGAATACAAAGTCAGCTAGCGAACAATCCTAAGCACCGAACAGGAATCATATGAAATATTCCCCCAAGCACGAGACAAGGCCCTGTGCTGAGGGTCAAGCAGGATCTGTTTAATGGTGGCCACATGCCGGCCTTTTATGCAGGTCTTCCAGCAAGGGACACTTCCATAGGGACCTTGTGGAAGACAGACATTTTGACAGTATCCAATGACATACAGTCACAATATGAAAACACTCCCACATAAACAGTGCAGCTCCTCCTCTCTATCCTGGAGATAATTGGGTTAAGTGCCTGAAATAACTCAATTACCTCCAGGGATAGAGAATATTCCCATATTTACAACAACAGTAAGAACACATAAAAATACATAATTCCTATTTCACTGAACGGAACCGCCACGTTTGACATATCACCAGAAAGCTTGGATCTGAGCACTCAATATAACTGAACAGCGCTCAGATCCCATACATACAGTCAAATCTCCATGGAGCTAAAGTGTGTTCACTGTGCGTTTGGCAGAAAGAATGAGCTCCATGGGTCTAGCTATCTGGGACAGTTCAGTTTGTGGATTGTCAATATACCGAACGGCACGCCGTTCGCATGAACTGGAAAGAAGAGATGGATGGTTGGTGATCTCAGCGGTGTTTGTGGGAAACAGTGTCCGAAATTAGTTCCATGTGGTTGACGACGAACACCGCTGGGCGTTCGACTGTCCAAGATGGCCGCCGCCACGTGTTCGTTCATACGAACGACGACCACCCAGCCAACCGTTCGGGAGTTGGAAGTGGCTGCGGTTAATCACAATGTTAATAAGGTCAGAAAGGTTAACGAGCAGCACACCTCCCCGCCATTCGGTAGTTAGTTCGTCTTTTAGCGAATGCAACCAGGAAACACACAAACAACCGGGGACTGGCGAACAAACAGACGAAATAGCCTCAAATAATATTCCAGATGATGGGAGGTCTGCCACAACTCCTAATCAGGCAATGTAGGCCTTCTTATCTTATTGCCTCTATCTCCTTAAACTGTCGGAGAACTTTAAGTAACGTGTTCTACTTTTATATCATTCTTTATACCACTCTATAAGTCGCTTTATAGATTTTACTTCCTTTTATAACGCTCTTGCTTTCTTACATGCCTTCCTTACATGCCTCAAAAGATAAAAAAGAAATTATCAGTTCCCTAGACCTTTCCAGGGATAATCAGTATCCTAACAGACATGACACAAATATAGCTAAGCAAAAATAAAGTAAGCTACAGCAACGTAATATAAGTCACCTATCCCCCCCCCCCTGCAGAGTACCACAAAGGACCACATAAGGAAACTCAGTCTATTAGTTGAATAATTCTTGGATGAGTCCTCGATAGAGCTTATATAGCCTAGATAGGCCCTGGATAAGTTCTAAAAGCATATTACATATATCTGCTCTTCGTTTCATTTTTTGTTTTTTTTGAGAAAAAAAAAAGTAAAAATTTAAAAAAATGTTCCTTTCTCTTCCTTCTCTTAAAAATATGTTCTCATTGGTTACTTGGAGATCCGACCTCTTTCCATTCTGGTTGTATCCTCTTAGGCGTAGAACTCAGATGCTCTTGCTGTGTTTCTTGATCCAAAGATATTTGTACTGCCCCTTCTTGGAGCTTCTTTATCCCAGCCTTTGGCTCAAATATAGACTGCAGTGATCCGGTACGCCAACCCAACAGCTTTGTGGGATATCCCCAACGATATGGGATTTTATGGTTATGCAAAGATTTAGTTATAGTAGCAAACTCCCTTCTTCTTGCCATTGTTTGAGGCGATAAATCTGCAGAAATGTGTATATCTTGATAGGGATTTGGTAAGACAGAAATCTTCCTAGATGTTTGCATCTGCAGATCTTTAGATTGATAGTAGTGAAATCTTACTATTGTTTCACCATAGATTATTAATGTTTTAATGGGAACATCTATAGCTATGCGCATAGGATTTGGCCTATTACATATCTATCAAGAATGGCACATAATACCAAATAATACAGCAATTGTGTAGCTGCTAAAACTAGCATCGCTTACAACTGGAAAAAACGATACCCCCGGATATTACAGATGCATTAGAAAGAGTGGATAAGGTATGTCAATATGGAAAACTTGCCAGATTAGAGGGTAAGGAAGATAAGCATGAAGAAAAGTGGTGTAAATGGTTACAGTACAGGAAAGAAATAGAAGAATGGAACAGATTGTAATGCACTATGGCACGCATCCACACCAATTATATTAACTTCTAAGATCCCTCCTTTCTTCACTATTTTGGGGGGAGGTGGGGGGTGGCTGTTAA